TATATATATATATATATATATATATATATATATAAAGTAAGAGCGATGAACTTGAAATATATTTATTATCAAAAGCTCATTGTTTATAATTTATACTCGATACACAAATTATTTTAATATATAATTATGAACAATTTTATAATATTAAATCTAACATACGATGTAATGTGTTAGAAATAAATATACATTTTTAATGAATAATCAATTTTCTATATTTATGAAAATTGAATATTTACAACGTATTGACAGACAATTACCTCTGTCAATTGATTGACAGTTTGTAGTGTAATGTGTGTACAATAATGATCATTATTATTCAAATAATGAATGGAATTATGATTTCATAATTATTTATTAATAATAATAAATAATAGTCTATATGAAACTAATATTTTTTTTGTTTTTGTAGGTTCCTTACAGACAATTATTTATTGCTATATATATATACTCAAACTCTCAATTATAATGTCAGATGACGAAGAAAACAATTTCCAGCCACCACCTCCAAAAAAATATAAAGCTTATCAGACAGATCCAAATATTCCGGTAAAGTATTTGAATTTATCTTTACTTAAATATGTTATTCAATTAAATTTGTTGAGGTCATAGTTCAAATATTTACAGTTATAATTTTGAAATTTAATCATTTTTAATAAAACATTTTTGAATTACATTTTTGGCTGGAATTTTTATAACAAATAGTAAAAAATTTACAAACAATAAAAATATTTAAATTCTAAATGGATTATTGAAAAAATCATTGATTGAATAATTCCTTTTTTAAAAGTCTCTATATCAATACATCAAAATGTTTTGATGAAATTTAGAACAATCAATTAAAAATATTTTAATTGATAAATTGATTAAAATTCAAAAGTATCATTGAAAGCAATTATTTTAATAAATAAATAACTAAATTTATTTTGTTAATTTTATTAATGAATGAATATTTGTAATGATATTTAAAAGTTTTAGTGGAGTTAGTTTTCATCTTAAAAGTCAATAATTTATTTTGACACTCTAATTAAATATATTTTTCATAATAACTATCATAGAATACATTATCAAAACTAACTTGAGATTATGAATACCTAGAGAATATTGCTGAAAAAAATTGATAAACAAATATTATTAATTAGTATAATCATCCAAAAATTTTATTTATTATTATTGATCGAAAAGATCTAAATTATTGAAAATCTAATTTTTATCGATTATTTTAAATACGTTGAAGGATTATTATTTGTTTGCGATTGAGTATTTAAGGTGATAGACCAAATTTTATCTTAATGAACTAATTATAAATATTTATATATTAGTTATTAACAGTTAAAGAAAAATTATGCCTCAGAAACATAAAAAAAATCAATTTTTTTGAATCTGATAAAGTTAATATTAAAGCAGAGCAATAGATTCTTCTTCTGGGTATGCTGATTTTTTATTATAATAAAATTATATAACATGCTTAATTGAAATTTCAGATTCCATTGCGGACATTGTACCGATGGGAACAAAATCGTATATCTTCCAAAAATTGCTTGGAAAATATTAAAAATAACCATTCCAATACAAATACTGAAGAAAATGAGGCTAGTACATCGAACTCAGTTTCATCTTATTCTAGTGACTCTAGTAGAAGTACAGATAATGAATCTGATCAAGATAAATCCAATAGCAATGACTGTGATGAAAGTGTTGATGATAGGGAGGATTATGATGATGGTGATGAAAACTATATAAATATTCAAAATGATACAGATTTAGATCTCGATGACATAACTGATGAAACTGATCTTGATGATCAGGGCAATCATAATATTGCCGAAACTAACACGGCGAATGACAGGAATGATGATAACGGCGTAATTGATGATAATAATGATATTATTACAGTTCAATATGAAAGACTACATGAAGATAGTCCAATAACTGTGGATGAATGTGTCTTCAATTTATTAAATTTTTACTGTAAACATAATATAACTAAAGCTGCATTGAAGGAATCATTAGAACTGCAACTGAAGCTTTTACCTGAAAATAATAGAATGCCGAAAACATTATTCAAACTATTCCAGTATGCACAATCTATTGCTCCTCGTTGTGAAGTAATCAAGCATTACTACTGTAAAAAATGTCTATATACTGTCGATTTTGAGGTACGCAACAAAAAAAAAATTATGACTTGTCCCTTATGTCAAACATGTAAACCGATCGATATTTCATTTTTTTTTGAATTTGATATCGACGATCAAATAAAATTTTTATTTGAAAAAACTAATATTACTGAAAAATTGAAAACATTTTGTTCTCATAACGATGGAAATGTATCGGATATAACTGACGGCAGCGAATATATAAGAGTAAATACACGAAGTAATAGAGGTGCACATGATTTAACCTTAATTATGAACACAGATGGATTGTCATTGGTGAAAAGTTCGAAGAGCCATTGTTGGCCAGTGATGTTCACTATTGCAGAGCTCCCCGAAAAAGTTCGCGAATCTTATATAATAATGGCTGGACTTTGGTATGATGATCACAATAAACCTCCCATGAATCTTTTTCTTAAACCGATTTGCTCGAATCTAAAACACTGTTTTATTGATGGTATCGACTAGGAGGATTCAAATACTGGAAATACGATTAATTCTAAAATAGTGGCTCCATTAATGATAGCTGATGCTCCAGCCAGGGCGCAAGTTCAAAATATTATGAATTTTAATGGTCGTTATGGGTGTAACATATGTGAAATTCGTACTGTACGAGCGAAAAAAATTGATGGAAAGAAAACCTGCCGCATATATCCATTTAAAATTGATTGTAGATTGCGAACTGGAACAAGGATGGAAGCACAAGCTCAAAAATTACTCAAATCGAGCCCAAAGAATCAAATTAGAGGTGTTAAGGGTTACTCTTCAATGTCTTGTTTACCTTTAGTTGATGTTGGGACATGTGTACTACCGGAGTACATGCACTCTGTTCTACTTGGAGTTATCAAGCAATTCGTAAGCCTTCACGTTGACAAACCAGGTCTATGGAGTATTAAAAATAAAATGGAGGAAATCAATAACTTCATTTTGGGTATCCAACCACCTGATTCATTTTCTAGACTTCCAAGAGAATTGTCACAGTATAATTTATACAAAGCTTATGAATTCTATAATTATTTGTTTTTTTACTCAGTACCGTTGCTTTCAAATTACTTGCCTGAAAAATACTTTCAACATTGGCTTTTATTAGTAAAAGCTATTCATAACTTAGTGAAAGATACTATAGAAATTGCAGATCTTGAAGAATCAGATAAACTACTGAAATTATTTGTTTCACAAATTGAAAATCTATATAATGATCGACAGCTAACGTACAACGTCCATCAACTAGTGCATTTAGTTCTTTGTGTAAAAAGATGGGGACCGTTGCGTGGAACCTCAGCTTTCGCCTTTGAAAATTACAATGGTTTTATAGCGAAATGTGTTCATGGAAAGAAACATTTTGCCCAAGAGATTGTCAATAATATACAAATTGCACAAGGTGTACAGCTATTAAAAAACCGTATCAATGAAAACTCAGGTAATTTTACAGAAATAAATGAATTGAAAAACTATCAAGCTTCAGGTAAAATATCAAATTTTAAGTTTAGCGATAAAGAACGTTATTTATTTCATTCTAAAGGTTTCGACCTAACAAGTATAGCAATTTACTCACGAGCAAAAATAAATACGATTGTATATACATCGGAAATTTATAAAATAATCAAAACAAATAATTACACGGTATTAATTAAAGCAGATGACTCAATAATTTATGGGACTGTTAGATTTTTCGCTGAGATTGAAGAAGACTTATGGATTGTTATTCATCGTCTTACTGTTGATCACACTAAAATTTTTTACCATGAACAAACAAGATCAAAAATTGAACATATTGTTCCAGTACAAAATAGTGATAATTTTATTTTAATTAATTTAAAGAATATCAATTTGATCACACAGCTTGTAAGAGTTAGTAACTATGTCTGTAAAAATATAAGTGCAATAAATACAGTATGGTAATAAATTTTGATGTCAACATTAATTTTAAGTAGTTTATTCCACTGTTGTATAATTGTTTTTTGTGAATATATCAATTAATTTGAAAGTAAGAAGAAATTTTTATATAGGCTAGTTATATATAAATATATATATAATTATATATGGAACTATATATAATCCTGCATGGCCGTATATTACTCCATATATAGTCATATATGATTATATATAATCTTTTATACAATTCCATATATAATCATATATAATTATATATGGAGCTATATATAATCCTGCATGGCCGTATATTGCTCCATATATAGTCATATGTGATTATATATAAGTATATATAATTATATATACTTATATATAATTATATATACTTATATATAATTATATATGGAACAATATATAATCCTGCATGGCCGTATATTGGTATGAATTACTGTTATAATATACAATTTAGGAAAAAAAAGTACCGTAGAATTAAATAAAATTTTGCAACCTCAAAATACCGTTCTGCTTACAGTAAACAGTCGGTAGTCTGGCGCTCCGTTGACAACGGATTTGAACGGAACTTGGCGCCAGATTCTACCGAATCTGTCGATTATATATAATTTTATATAATTATATAAAAATTTTTTCCCCAGGTAGATAAAATTATATATAATTATACAAAAATATTTAAAATAATACATAATTTTATATAATTATATATATTTATATAAAATTTTAAGTTAAAAATTACATATAATTAGATAAAATTTTATAAAATTATACAAAATTATATAAAATTATCCATAATTTTATATAGTGTGACGCGCCTCTATATTTTATATAAAATTATTAATAGTTATTGAAAAATAAAATAAGAAAAGATTGAGAAAATATTATAAGAGAGTGCGAGAGAGAAAAGACAGCCGCGCGCAGCCTACCCGGAACAAAGAAAGAGGGAAAAGAGACGGCGAAGAACGCCGAGAGACAAGCGAGAGTAGTAGGGGAAGCATCCTGGGAAGTCCCGTAGCATAGTTCCCGCGCGCACCGTGAGGCAGCGCGGTGTCGTTCAGACTGTTCGCCCCAGAAGAGTATTGCTTCTGAGTTGTTAAAACCAATTTTTTGATCAGTTTTTGCCAGATCAGCTTGGGCTTCTGAGCAAGTGGTACACTCTGCGGAGAAGTTACAAGTGCTGTGTTGCGAGCAGTTGGAATTGTTATATACTTTAAGTATATACTTTCTGTAATTAATCCTGCCCACACAGTGAATCGCTTTGTCGCCAGGTTGACCTGAGGTACTTAGGTCACCGAATAGCCTCTATTGCACGGCAAGAGGTGAGGCTGTGGTACATAGCCTGTCGTTCTCGAAACGAATATTGTAGGAAATAGCTAGGAGGTTGGCGACACCTGGACTTGGAGGTACTCCTCGTCGGAACACCTAGGGGGAGATACGGCTGGGCGTCGGGGTACCTGATACAATCCCGGTATCTCTATATTTGGACAACCGAGCCTCTCTTAGTTGATAGAGGGAACTGGGGAGAGTTTAGATAGATCCGCGGTCGCGACGCGAACTCCCCAGTAGGCTGCAAGTAGGTTACGGCTTGTCAGAAGTATTTGTAAATGTGTAAATTAGATTTTGGGTAAAAGACAAGATAATACGTATGTTTATTGTTTGTAGAATATTGATTATTGTTTATTGTATAGTTGTATTGTATCTTGGTTTGCAATAACGAATTTGAGTTGAATATGATTGGTTTATTGGTTTATATGAGATTTGATGAATAAATTAACCTTATATTTAGAATCTGTGTTGTTATTTGGTTAATATTAGCTAGTTGTAAGTTTATCTGTGTTGCGTGATCCCCATCCCGACCCTGGACACGGCGAGCTAGAGCACGGGGAAGTCGTGTTCATCACGACGAGGCTTTAAAACATTCCGTAACGTCACAATAGTTTTGTATAATTATATATAATTATATTTTATTACATAAAATTTTTTGTCCCCGGGTAGATAACATTATATATAATTATGTATAAATTTATATAAAATTATACATAATTATATTAAATTTTATATATATTTATATAAAATTAGATCAAATTATATATAATTTTTTTCCCCGGGTAGCGAGAAGTTGCAGGAATGGTCTTTAGGTTCAACCGTTTTCCTAATTTTTTTTTTTATTGAAAAAAAGATAGCCAGAAAACAAGACGAGAATTTCCTATGTTATTTTATATTGAAAAAGTAATCAGTAAAAAATTTTTTTCATTTAATTATAATAAGGGTATCTTTCATTTTGAAATAAGAATTATTCTTTAAAACCCCATTTTTCAAAGTTTGAATCAGTAATATGTTGAGGTAATATTAATGACAGAGATGGTGACGAATTTTCGTAAGTTTTTAAAGCAGAAGTAATATTCCATGCTGGATATATGACTTCTTTGCAAGCTGTAACGACTGGATGTTGAAAATATTCATTCATTATATCATGCGCTTGACGTCCATCTTCTACACTAATTTCACTTTGTGTTTGATTCCTCCATGTTACTGAAAAAAGATTATAATTCCGAGTTAATCCTTATATTTTTTAAAGTAAGCAACCATTTATCATTGACGAAAATTTGTAATTAAAAAATTTTATACAAGATCCATCCATAATTTTGTAAAAGAACTTATTATTACATAAACCCTTATCTGGCATTTTGTGATTAATGTGACTTCAACAAAAAATTATTAATTGCAACGAAGCTATTTAATATTTTGGTTAAAAATTTAATTTGGGTAAATTTTGAAATGTCTTTCATAAAATAAAACGGGTTGCAATAATTTAGTGAATGTTTAAAAGTAGTTTAATAACTGACAATCTTTAATTAACATAAAAAAATGAAATTTTTTAACGCTGAAAACTCATCTCCAAATGCGAAGTTAACGCTACTATTTTTTTATTTTTTATTTTTAATGAACTTACCGATTTTTTCAAGTGCTTGAATCTCTAAAGCCGAATAATGAGAGAATTTGCAGTTATTTCCAAACACGCATTCGCCACTAGTGAAGAACTTCTTGCATGGTATTTTACAAGCCTCATCTTTAAGAATATCTTTAGGCTCTGCAATGAAAAAGTAATTAATTCCTATGATATAAAATTGATGATTGAACTGAAGTTAGTTTAGTATCGAAAATCTCGAAAGAATGGTTAGTGATTCCTTATTGATTAGGATTAAATCGCGCGCGTATGCGCGCAATTCGAATTCTTAATAATTTCATAATAACAAAAATATGTTCCATGAAACTTCTATTAAACAGCAGTGTTTGCTAGCATTTCGAATTTGGCGCATTCGTTTATTTTTTAATTTTCCGCTAAGAAAATTGAAAATTTTCAGAAATCGGGAAGTTATTGGTTTTACCCCGTTTTTCGAAAATCGAGTTTTCATCAGATCTCCACGTTTGAAGGTCCTAGGAAGCTTCCCTGACTATTGCCGCGATGGTGTCTATATGTCTGTATGTCTGTAGGGGAAGGAGGGGGGAGGCAAAGTGGGCCCCCTAAAATTTGGAAAGACTCAAAATTTTGGGGGCAAAGTGGGCACCCTGAAATTTTTTATAAAAACATGTAGCCTATAGAGACTATTGGCGGATTGCACATATATCGATTTATGTGACTGCCTCATAGGAAGATTAAAAAACAAAAAACTTCCATTTCAGTCAATCAACTTTCGTAGAATACGTTAAAAACAAAATGAAAATTTTCTGCCGAAAGCTTTTAAAGATATTTTAATGCAAAAGATGAGAAATTCACGAAAATTTCAGGCCGACATATTTAAAAATAAACAAACCACGTGATTCAGCGCAGTGTGGCAACGTTGCACAGAATAGAACGCGCGAATTTTGAATTTTAGTAATTCCTGTGTATTTTTATGGGTTATGTTTTTCAACTCAACACTACACAGTGAGATAAATATAAACAGCTGTTAAGTGCGGTGTTGTCAGGTCCAAGTTTTGTGAAAAAATACTTGAGTAAAACGTTGACTATTTATTGTTGTTGTTAATTAAATTATTAAATTATTTTATTTAATAATAATGTAAGGTAACGATTAAATTATAGTAATGAATTTTCGTATTTAAATTTTTAAGTTTAATGAAAAAAAAATTTAGATTCTACTATGACTTACGGGGTACTGTCCGTGCAACCTTAACAAAAATATTTGTTTTTCTCAATGTAGATGGCTGTAAGGGTTGTGCAATACACGTTTGAATGTGTGTGGCCACGTCGCCATATTGATTGTTTACTCCTTATTAATAATCCTGTGGTAGGTATTATAATTTCTATTATCTCTGATAAACAAACTGCACTGATTGCACGCCTTATAAGAAATAATATTATTTTTGCGTCAATTTGAGCTCTTTGAGCTCAAAACTCTAATAGCAGTTTAAAGACACAATTTTTTGAATTTTCAAACGGCAATAACTTTTGAATGAATTAACCGATTTTCACGCGGTTGGCGGCAATCGACGCAGTTTTTGAAGCTCCATGAAAAATTTTCAAGTTTAAATCGATCGAGCCATGAATTTCGAAGTTATTACAAAAAAACACTTTTTTCGATTTTTTTCGACAACGATATCTCACGAACGCATCAACCGATTCTAACATTTTTGATGGCGATCGATGGAGGTTTTCAAGGTTAAGAGCTGATTAGCTTTTGAGACCGATCGGTTCAGACAATTCGGAGATATTTGAAAAAAATAAAAAAAAACTTTTTTTTTCACTTTTTTTGCATTTTCTCGAAATCTACCGGTCCGAATCGGCTCAAATTTTCAAGAAATCTAAGTTTAGTAAAGCCCTTTCGAATGACACCAACTGCGATGAAATCGGTCAAGTCGTTCAAAAGTTACAAGAGGTTTACACACAGACACACAGACACAGACACACACACACACACACACACACACACACACACACACACACACACACACACACACACACGCGGACGAGAAGAGACACAAATCTTGTTAAAAGTGCGCAACAAGGTTACGGGCGTTTGTATTTCAATATTTCTGAGTAAAAAGATACACAAATCTTGTTAAAAGTGCGCAACAAGGTTACGGGCGTTTGTATTTCAATATTTCTGAGTAAAAAGATACACAAATCTTGTTAAAAGTGCGCAACAAGGTTACGGGCGTTTGTATTTCAATATTTCTGAGTAAAAAGATACACAAATCTTGTTAAAAGTGCGCAACAAGGTTACGGGCGTTTGTGTTTCAATATTTCTGAGTAAAAAGACACACACATCTTGTTAAAAGTGCGCAACAAGGTTACGGGCGTTTGTGTTTCAATATTTCTGAGTAAAAAGACACACACATCTTGTTAAAAGTGCGCAACAAGGTTACGGGCGTTTGTGTTTCAATATTTCTGAGTAAAAAGACACACACATCTTGTTAAAAGTGCGCAACAAGGTTACGGGCGTTTGTGTTTCAATATTTCTGAGTAAAAAGACACACACATCTTGTTAAAAGTGCGCAACAAGGTTACGGGCGTTTGTGTTTCAATATTTCTGAGTAAAAAGACACACACATCTTGTTAAAAGTGCGCAACAAGGTTACGGGCGTTTGTGTTTCAATATTTCTGAGTAAAAAGACACACACATCTTGTTAAAAGTGCGCAACAAGGTTACGGGCGTTTGTGTTTCAATATTTCTGAGTAAAAAGACACACACATCTTGTTAAAAGTGCGCAACAAGGTTACGGGCGTTTGTGTTTCAATATTTCTGAGTAAAAAGACACACACATCTTGTTAAAAGTGCGCAACAAGGTTACGGGCGTTTGTGTTTCAATATTTCTGAGTAAAAAGACACACACATCTTGTTAAAAGTGCGCAACAAGGTTACGGGCGTTTGTGTTTCAATATTTCTGAGTAAAAAGACACACACATCTTGTTAAAAGTGCGCAACAAGGTTACGGGCGTTTGTGTTTCAATATTACTGAGTAAAAAGACACAAATCTTGTTAAAAGTGCGCAACAAGGTTACGGGCGTTTGTATTTCAATATTTCTGAGTAAAAAGATACACAAATCTTGTTAAAAGTGCGCAACAAGGTTACGGGCGTTTGTATTTCAATATTTCTGAGTAAAAAGATACACAAATCTTGTTAAAAGTGCGCAACAAGGTTACGGGCGTTTGTATTTCAATATTTCTGAGTAAAAAGATACACAAATCTTGTTAAAAGTGCGCAACAAGGTTACGGGCGTTTGTATTTCAATATTTCTGAGTAAAAAGATACACAAATCTTGTTAAAAGTGCGCAACAAGGTTACGGGCGTTTGTATTTCAATATTTCTGAGTAAAAAGATACACAAATCTTGTTAAAAGTGCGCAACAAGGTTACGGGCGTTTGTATTTCAATATTTCTGAGTAAAAAGATACACAAATCTTGTTAAAAGTGCGCAACAAGGTTACGGGCGTTTGTATTTCAATATTTCTGAGTAAAAAGATACACAAATCTTGTTAAAAGTGCGCAACAAGGTTACGGGCGTTTGTATTTCAATATTTCTGAGTAAAAAGATACACAAATCTTGTTAAAAGTGCGCAACAAGGTTACGGGCGTTTGTATTTCAATATTTCTGAGTAAAAAGATACACAAATCTTGTTAAAAGTGCGCAACAAGGTTACGGGCGTTTGTATTTCAATATTTCTGAGTAAAAAGATACACAAATCTTGTTAAAAGTGCGCAACAAGGTTACGGGCGTTTGTGTTTCAATATTTCTGAGTAAAAAGACACACACATCTTGTTAAAAGTGCGCAACAAGGTTACGGGCGTTTGTGTTTCAATATTTCTGAGTAAAAAGACACACACATCTTGTTAAAAGTGCGCAACAAGGTTACGGGCGTTTGTGTTTCAATATTTCTGAGTAAAAAGACACACACATCTTGTTAAAAGTGCGCAACAAGGTTACGGGCGTTTGTGTTTCAATATTTCTGAGTAAAAAGACACACACATCTTGTTAAAAGTGCGCAACAAGGTTACGGGCGTTTGTGTTTCAATATTTCTGAGTAAAAAGACACACACATCTTGTTAAAAGTGCGCAACAAGGTTACGGGCGTTTGTGTTTCAATATTTCTGAGTAAAAAGACACACACATCTTGTTAAAAGTGCGCAACAAGGTTACGGGCGTTTGTGTTTCAATATTTCTGAGTAAAAAGACACACACATCTTGTTAAAAGTGCGCAACAAGGTTACGGGCGTTTGTGTTTCAATATTTCTGAGTAAAAAGACACACACATCTTGTTAAAAGTGCGCAACAAGGTTACGGGCGTTTGTGTTTCAATATTTCTGAGTAAAAAGACACACACATCTTGTTAAAAGTGCGCAACAAGGTTACGGGCGTTTGTGTTTCAATATTTCTGAGTAAAAAGACACACACATCTTGTTAAAAGTGCGCAACAAGGTTACGGGCGTTTGTGTTTCAATATTACTGAGTAAAAAGACACAAATCTTGTTAAAAGTGCGCAACAAGGTTACGGGCGTTTGTATTTCAATATTTCTGAGTAAAAAGATACACAAATCTTGTTAAAAGTGCGCAACAAGGTTACGGGCGTTTGTATTTCAATATTTCTGAGTAAAAAGATACACAAATCTTGTTAAAAGTGCGCAACAAGGTTACGGGCGTTTGTATTTCAATATTTCTGAGTAAAAAGATACACAAATCTTGTTAAAAGTGCGCAACAAGGTTACGGGCGTTTGTATTTCAATATTTCTGAGTAAAAAGATACACAAATCTTGTTAAAAGTGCGCAACAAGGTTACGGGCGTTTGTATTTCAATATTTCTGAGTAAAAAGATACACAAATCTTGTTAAAAGTGCGCAACAAGGTTACGGGCGTTTGTATTTCAATATTTCTGAGTAAAAAGATACACAAATCTTGTTAAAAGTGCGCAACAAGGTTACGGGCGTTTGTATTTCAATATTTCTGAGTAAAAAGATACACAAATCTTGTTAAAAGTGCGCAACAAGGTTACGGGCGTTTGTATTTCAATATTTCTGAGTAAAAAGATACACAAATCTTGTTAAAAGTGCGCAACAAGGTTACGGGCGTTTGTATTTCAATATTTCTGAGTAAAAAGATACACAAATCTTGTTAAAAGTGCGCAACAAGGTTACGGGCGTTTGTATTTCAATATTTCTGAGTAAAAAGATACACAAATCTTGTTAAAAGTGCGCAACAAGGTTACGGGCGTTTGTGTTTCAATATTTCTGAGTAAAAAGACACACACATCTTGTTAAAAGTGCGCAACAAGGTTACGGGCGTTTGTGTTTCAATATTTCTGAGTAAAAAGACACACACATCTTGTTAAAAGTGCGCAACAAGGTTACGGGCGTTTGTGTTTCAATATTTCTGAGTAAAAAGACACACACATCTTGTTAAAAGTGCGCAACAAGGTTAC